TACTTTCTACTTCCTACATGTTGAACCCAAATACCATATATCTTTTGCTCTCTTTACAATAAATAGTTAAACTTAGAAGTTGTCTGTCTTTCCTGGAATTCTGAACCCAACATCTACACCAAAAAAATACTTTGTAAAAGCTTAAAATGACTCAAATCCTAACAACTATGTTTTTTTGTATATATCAGAATACCGCCAACACAACTGGCACCTCCGACTGAGGGAAAGACAGTCAGACTTTCAGACTTTGAGTTGCGCGCACTACTAAAGAGACGCGTTACCATGGAAACCAAACAACGGTGTAGCTGTATTAAAGTCTGAGTGGAAACAGTCCTGAGTAAATCTGATTTGTCAGAAATCGGGAGAAATGTGACCCCGGGAGGAAACCGGGAGAGGGCAATGAAATCGGGAGTCTCCCGCGAAAATCGGGAGGGTTGGCAAGTATGAATCATGCAGAGTTGAATACTGTATGAACACTGAGTAGAGAAGAAATAACTCTGAAAAGGGAACTCTGTACTGTACTGTGTTTAAATTGAAACCAAATGTTATATTTAAAAAAAGGTTTTACTCAATTTAAGTAGAATTTACACAAAAAAATTACTTTGTAAAAGCTTAAAATGACTTGTATCAGAGTAACGCTAACTTCTCCTAACAACGGTTACGTTTCTTTGTATAGATTTGTACTGCTGTTTTTAATAAAATACAAACTAGTTTTTGTATTTTATTGGTATTTATGGGCTTATATCCCCTACCATAGTGTTTAAGATCCATATCATTGAGCAATAAACACACTTTCAAGAGTGTGATGATTTTGGTCACGTAAAGAACTTCAAAATAATGCAAAAAATTACTATTTCATAAGGAAAAACCCACAGAAATAGGCAAACATAGTAACCCAATGAAAGATACTTAATGTAACACTGCTGGGAAATAAGTTTAGTCACTTTATCACGAAGGTCAGATGAGAAGTTTGATGCCGTGGAATAATGCGTAGAAAATATGCAAAGTGTTAAAATGTCAAAGCTTGTGTGAAATAAAAAAACGTCCTTGTCTTAATGCTAAGCTAAGCGTCTCCTGGCTCTAGATACTTCTTTCAAAAGCTTCTAATTTTCCCAAAAAAGCCATATTTTCCCAAATGTCAAACCATTCTTTTATGTAGAACAACACAGGAACTTACTGTGAACAAATACAGGTGAATACGATGAGAAGAATCAGGAAAACGAGCCCCGCGATGACGCAGGCGATTATTATTTGTCGTTTTTCTCCAATTCGCCAATCCAAGTCCAGATATTCACATCTGGAGCCGATGTAGCCATGCTGACACCTGAGAAAAACAAAATACTTTCACTGTTTTGATTTAACAGACAATAAAGACTAACACTACTGCCTCTTTTAAAGGGGTGGGAAGTAGTGGACTACAAATACAATACAAATACTTTGTTACTGTACTTAAGTACATTTTTCTGGTATCAGTACTTTACTCCACTACTTATTTTCCTGACCACTTTTTACTTTTACTTCTTACATTTTGAACACAAATACCTGTACTTTCTACTTCTTACATTTTGAACACAAATACCTGTACTTTCTACTTCTTACATGTTGAACACAAATACCTGTACTTTCTACTTCTTACTCTCCTGTACTTTCTACTTCTTACACTTTGAACACAAATACCTGTACTTTCTACTTCTTACATGTTGAACTCAAATACCTGTACTTTCTACTTCTTACATGTTGAACACAAATACCTGTACTTTCTACTTCTCTCATTTTCCAAACAGGCTGGTTCCTTTAGTTTGAATGTGTGTTTGGTGGCGTGATCATTATTATTTAGAGTCATTGCGTGCCTATTGATTTGAACACGATCCGTGTATCCATCATTTCCTGGTCTTCTCTAAAGAAGAGGGACCAATGAAAATGTTGTCATGTTGCCGTTGTTCAGCATGGAAACATTCATTAGCTAACAATGACATTATTGTTCTATTAATATAAAGGGAGGTCAGGTACTCTTTAAAACAGCTGCTAGTTATGGGTACTTTTTACTGAAGTACATTTCAAAGCCTCTTTACTTTTACTTGAGTAAAGAAGTTTAGTCAGTACTTCTACTTTCACCAGAGTATTTTTAAACACGAGTATCTGTACTTCTACTTGAGTAAAGGGTGTGTGTAGTTCGACCATTTCTGCTCTTTTATCCGTTGAATTGTACAGCTACACCTTTCAGAAAATGCTAATTATCTCCGTGTTTTTGCAGCGTCTTACCTGCAGGACGGTGCATTCTGTTCTTTAATGTAACGGCACTCCCCGTGGATGCAGTAATTTGTCAAAGCCTCGGGACATTTTGAGAAGTGTCCGGTCCACTGCCCTGTATCTGTCGTGCTTTCTGGAGAAATAAGATGATAACCTTTCAAATGAGCTTCAGGATTATTGTGGTCAGTATAACAGCTTTTCACCATCTTTTGAAACTTGGAGATTAGGCGCCCAAATACATTGTTATTATTACATTTGGGGGAGCAAAGTTGTACGTTTGCTAACCAACTTTCTGACTTATTAAACACATCGTATCATCATACAGTCCCCATAATCAACTGAGTATAATTATCAGTATATCCAACACAGTCTCACGGCATTTCGTGTTGAAGTCACGACATTTAATTTATTGATTTGTGTTCACCAACACGATTTCCCCATTTTTTTTGTGTCACACAGAACGATTTTAAAAGCAAAGTATTTCTATTGGTAGTATGTTTCGTGCCTGCATCAAATAATAACAAATTAGAAGGAAAAAAATATTTTAAAAAATACAGATTTCAGTATTCTGAGGCTCTGAGCCCCATTTATTTTCCTCACAGACGGCAAAAAAAGTCAGAAATTATACGATTTAAAATAAAAGCAATAATTTCTGACTTTTTTTGCCGTACTATTTAAAATAAAAGGGTTAGGCTTAGGGTAAGATATTGAGTAAGAAAATGTTTTTATGAACCACACAGCTTCCGGTCTTCCAAACCCGACCGGACAAAAAGACGTGGTGCAGGCACGAAACATACTACCAATAGAAATACATTGCTTTTAAAACCGTCTGTGTGACATGAAAAAAATGTGAAAATGGTGTTGGTGAACACGAATCAATAGATTACATTAATTTCGTGACTATAACCGTGAGACTGGGTTGGTATATCAGTGATCATTATTGCTATTTTCAGCAGAAGTTAAATCAAAATCCCAATTTTTTTTCCCCAAACCTTGGAATCATGCTTTCATATGTTTTGTCATTTGCATGTCTGGTTTCTGAAACCTAAAAAATTGAGAAGTGAAGTACTCGAAAAAGCTAAGAAAGTATCACTGTTAGCAAAATTGCTTCAATGAAAGATGTTTACAATGTTAAGAACCATCTAGACAACTGCTTAATCATGGACTGATAACAGAACATAAGACAGGCTATTTAATGTTATAATAACCTGCTTGGTTAGTTGGAGTTAGCATAAAGAGCTAGCTTAAATCAGCTTAAAGTAGACTCCTACTGTTAAAGCAAGGAAAACAGGAACAAAAACAGTCGCTGATTGTTAGCTAAAATCTGCTTTAGAGGCCAATGAACGTTTGTCATTTCTGATGGGAATCTGACTGTTTACAAAGGTAAGAAACATTTAGTTGAACTGCTTAATCATGGAATTAAAACAGAACAAATGAAAAGACAGGCTAGTTAATGACAAAAGAAACTGCTTGTTAGCTCGTTCATTAGCTTAAAGAGCTAGCTTAAATTAGCTTAAAGTAGAGAGTAGGCTACTGTTGGTGAAATACCAAATTGATTTACTAGTAACTTTACCAACTAACGTTAGCTTCCTAATTGGACAGGATTTTACGGTGGAGATCGACCGTAGCAAAAAAGTAGATGGTGCATTTAGTAAAATACTGAACTGATTTTCGAGTCAACGTTAGCTAAATTAGCCGGCTAACGTTAGCTTCCTAATTCATCACGATTTGGCAGTGGAGATCGGACAAACTGCAGCAACAAGACAACTCTTTTTCTTTCTAAAGATCAACATCTTATTATTTAGCATTAGCATTGTTGATTTCATTGTTTGGGGATGTAGTGGAGGGTTAATCCAAGATATAGGTGGTGTAGAAATGCAGGAAATATGTTGTAATTCACATGTCCTCTCCCTTTAGACCTCACACTAACTGAAGAACACCAGAGAGTTGTTTTAAAAAGCCGAGCTATTTCTGTAACGTTCTGTCAGCTTCTCCTTTTGAATACACCCTCACCTCCTGGCACGATATAAATAGTTTGCAATTTGATCCAGAGAGGAGTGATGAATCATTGCTGGAAGAAGCTTGGTGTCATCGGGTCTTTTTAACCACGTGTCGCAATCATTACATTACCAACTCAACTGAACACATGGTGGATAAAGTTACACTCACTCTCATTCTGTTTCTCCTCCACCAAACACTCCCTAACACAGCTGCTAGTCGACCATAACGCTGAACTTCTGACCCCTGAAGTTACACACAATGCTCGTTATACAACAAGCTGCCGCTGCCTTTACTGCACAGCCCATTATCTGTGAACACGAGCTCGTAAAATAATACTGCTGCTCCGGAGACTTCAATGAAAGCGCTTCAGTAGAAACTGAAACACGAGATCAGGCTCGCTGCCGTTACTCCGTGTTGAAAATAAAAATATCAAGTTACAAAGTTTGAAGGGATAGTTTGGGAAACAGGAAGCAGTTGATGTCTTGTTTCGCTGAAGCTGGACGTTGGAGGCATCAAATTAATTAATTAATTAATCTAATTTGTTTAATTTGTACGAGAAACATAGCGTAAAAATCACGTATTTGTTGAAAGGAGAACAGTGCATGTTTAACAACCCCCCTTTCCATTCTTTCAGCCAAGCTAAGCTAACCTGCTATGGTTTGATATATACATGTTTTTCACTTACATTTTGGTATACTGCACAAACTGTATTTTGTGTTGTAATTTTACGTAGATTTTTGCGTATTTATAACAATTTTTAAAAAAAAATTAATATTTGCATATGTTTTACAACCTTATTCGTCCTACTGTGTTTATGCAAAAACCAGAACAATTCCGTGTAAACCTAATAAAAACCCTAATTCTGATTAAATAGGTAGAGAAATTAATGGTTTCAATATTGAAGAAAGCAAAGCATATATGTGAAGACAAGGAACTATTCACTTGAAGCTGATTTTGATAAAGCAGTCATTTTGATAAAGCAGGTAATAGCCTACATACAAAAAAGACTAACATTTTAAGGATTTAAACTACAAGCCTGCTAGGAGGCACATCATTTCTATAACGAGCTTTTGAGAGAATATCCTGCAGCTAAATCAGAGAGGTGGAAAACATCCAAACTCCTTTATGGCCCAGTTGAAGCCCCCTTGTCCCACCTGTCCATATCTACCTGTGCCGTTGTCTCCGTTTCCGATTGACACGGTTCGATTGGCAGACGCTTCGGTCACATGACTGCCGGCCAGAGAGTATTTGCACAAAGCCAGAGCTGCAGACAAACACAGGTAAACACCCACAACAAAAACACATGCAAATATATACACATGCACAATGTTTTTTAACCGATTTGTGTCCACAGAAAGTAGTAGTTTCCCCCTATTTATATAAGTCTAAGTAAGTAAACAATTCAAGAATACCCAGACAAAATAAATAGGAAATAGGCAATAAACATTATAATTAAGTATTTTATATACGATAGGGAGAAGGAAGTAGGAGTTTTTACCCCTTTTTGATATATTGTTATACACTTAAAGTGGCAATAGATAACATTTATACCTCAACTTAGAAATGTAAAGTAAATATTGAATGCACAATGTAAGAGAGAAATGACACAATCAGTGTTTAGATATTAAACCTTTACAATGCATTACTGTCTCCTTTCAGGTTCAAAATATCCCTTTCACAATAAAAGCCCTAGAATTAAACACCACTGCTTCCTAGAGATCATTCACTAAGTACATTTACTCAAGTACTTAAGTATAATTTTGAGGTACTTGTACTTTACTTGAGTATTTCCATTTTATGAGTAAATCCACAAGCTACCCTGCAGTATACAAAGTCTTTCAAACTAGCTGCACCTTTACCAGCTTTGAGAATACTTTCATGATCAATCATTATAAAACATATCATATATATTATTCTGAAATGGACCAATCTGCACAATGACTACTTTTACTGTCGCTACTTTCACTATATTTTGATGATAATACTTTTCTACTTTTACTTGAGGAACATTTTGAATGCAGGACTTTTACTGTAACAGAGTATTCCTACACTCTGGTACTTCTACTTTTACTCAAGTACAAGATCTGAGTACTTCTACTTTTACTCAAGAACAAGATCTGAGTACTTCTACTTTTACTCAAGTACAATATCTGAGTACTTTTACTTTTACTCAAGTACAAGATCTGAGTACTTCTACTTTTACTCAAGTACAAGATCTGAGTACTTCTACTTTACTCAAGT